AGTATATTTGGGTAATCCCTCAAGGTTTCGAGGATAATCGTAACAATATTTTGAATAGGAACTTATATCTTTTTTACCATCTGTAAAACTGACGAAGTGGCAACCATCTAAAGAAGGAGAAATCAGCTGACACGGAAAAATCTAAATTCCGCAGATTTCTGCGCTACGGGCTACAACTACAGAAAAATTCTGCGGAGTTGAGTTTTCATTTACATGGCGCTTTGGTAAGACAGATCGTGTCAGCTGACTCGGGTTTACGTACCGGTAGGTTTACGTTCTTGACTAATTTCAGCTTAATGTCTGGATTATAATGGAAGTAACGGAACGGGGCGAACTGTCACTTAATTATCTATTGTATGGGCAATGACTTCAAACGATTATAATGCACTTGAACGCAATGTAAAACGGAAGCATCTAAAATCAATAGATCCTTGCGAATTCACCGTGATTTGTTACGATTCGCACCTTGCATTATAGCCAAGGTATAAATGCTGTAAACCTGACTGCTATTGGAACAGACTATTTGATTTAACAAATCGCCATTAAAATCTTATAATGTAAACACCGCATGATATAAGATGTTCTATAATTGGGCATCACTTTACTGAACAGCTGGCATCAATTGGGTACGGGATTTCTATATGAAAACAAAAAGTTTAGTAGTTTGCACGCGAAATTTCGCCAATTTTTGAAAATTAGCTACATTTCTAGGTTTTTATTTTGAAGTGAAAAATAACTGCATTCCTCAATGGCTGCACTTCCCCGTCCAACCTTGAACAGAATACCAGCAAAAGCGCCAACTATAAAACAAGATAATGCAGTGAAAGATTTAACAAAACTTTCTCGTTTGGAATTGTTGGACCTAAAGGAACGCCAAAGCAAGCTACTGGCCAATAAGTAAGTTTACTACAATAACTCTATATTTGTATGTAATGCTATTGACTTGAATTTTTTAGAGTCAACTTAAATCTGCTTCCGGATAAAGGGAAACGTATAAAAGATTTCTACGATAGGGTGAATGCAGAACTAGATCGACGTAGTAATATCGATGAAGCGGCTAATATGTTCTCTGAATTGAATATAGCTTCTAGAGGTCAAGATGTGCTTAATCGCCTAGAGTGGAACGGTCGCCTCAATGTAGATAATGACATGGACCCAACAGTAGATGTGCTAGATAGTGATGATGAAGCCGAACTAGATCCCTTGCGGGTGATAGCACAGCGTACAATGCATGCGCGGCGCACCAAATTGTTACCACCCGAACCGAAGCTAATAACGGAAGCTGACTTAGCTGAGATCAAATATTTTAAGGCAGGGTCTGAAAAATTATTTCCAACGATGACTGGTACTGATTTAGTCACTGCGATGGATATAAGAGAAAAGGAAAGCACTGACGAGTCAAACAACGTGGTAGATGTAGAAGTTTTTGAAATTGATATTAGCGAAAAACTCAAATCTATAAAGCCTAAAATTCAGCATGTAATAGAAAAATCTCCATCATCAAAAGCAAGCTCAGTAAGTGGCGACAGTCGCTGTAGTACACCTGCCATACAAGAAGTCGAACAGCACGTGCGTTACTTGGTTACTAAAACCGAGTTAGACGTAGCACCACAACGTGAAAAATTCAAACCTTACAAAACAACAGTGTCTAATGTGCACGACCCGGCTAAGGAACGCACGCGCAATAAGGGCAAACATTGGGAAGTTACTGCTGCAACACCGCCACTTATACAGCATGGCGCTACAAAAATGCTGACATTGCTTGATTCGGTTGACTTGCAAGCGAGTTATTTAGCCAGGATGAAAGTGAGTGCGAATTTACGTTTTCCTGTGTGTATACTATTGCTGCGTAGAATGTATGAAAATATTTGCCAATATATTTAGGAATTGCAAGAAAAACAAGCAGAGGACAGGTTGGCTGCACGTTTCGCACGATTGGAGCAACGTAGTCTGAAACTGCCAATAGAAGAAGAGCTGAAAGCAAAAGCATCTTTCAATACATATCGCTCACCGGCATTAGATATCGAGGGCGAGCAGAAGTTTAATGAAGATGAAGAGGTGCATGACCCGCTAGGCGAGGAAACGGCTGCGGGTGGCGTTAGCTATACCGTCTTCAATTGATTACCTCAAATTTAAAATAATAGATTCATTCTGATTATTTGGATGTTAATTTATTAGTCGAACTACTTACTATTAACGACATGGTTCAACAATTAACCACACACCTACATATGTTGAGTTCTTGAGACATTTGTATAACATTCAAGCTTAAAAGGTGGTGTTTTTACACGTAAATACTTATTTTGTTGAAAGCTGTGCTTTCGTCCCACGATAAAGTACACAAATTTGTAAAATTTCTAATACATCATAAATCATTCGTACATGCATAGTATATCTTAAATTGAATAAAATTGTGTGGCTGTGGATGCTTGTAGTTCGATCTGACCCATTTTGAATTGTAGTCGCTGCAGCCATTTTAGTAATGCATCCGAGGGATGAGTCTGTTGTTCCTCGTAGTTTGGTGCATAATCGCGAACGTTTTGTAGGCGTACGTGTAGAGTGTCGGATAGCTAAAGGAGAAAGGCAGAAGCGTGAAAGCAAATATTGACATTTAAGGTGGAACTGCTTTAGTACCTGGGTTTGCGAGGACAAGACAGGACTCCAAAGTGGCAAAAGTTTGCCTAATATGGTAGAGTTTGTTTCTTTGAGCGCCTCGAGTAGGCTAAGAAAGTGAAGATTCACCATTTCGGAAAGCTGAAAGCAAAGTGTATGTATGAGATAAGGATTTAAGATTTCAACGAGGCAAAAGCTTCATGCCACCCACATAAAAGTCTCTAAAAATTGCAAATAAAAAATCAATAAGAAGAACTTAGTTTTTAAAAAAAAAATTTTTTAAAATTGAGTTTGGCGTTATTCCACCATTTTTTCGACTTTTATGAAAACTACTTAGGCCGAGAGATGAAAATTTTAGTAAGCCGGCCATAAAATAAAAATACGAGCTAACTTTTGCAAATCCATCGAGAGTTTTACTACTGGATGGGTATACTTTCAGAAAATCTTAACAAAGCCCGGGCTGGTTTCGGATACGCACAGTGTTATGCATGTAGAAAAAACTCGTAACGAATAAATTAAACAAATTTGATAAATTTACAATAAATTATATTAAACATAAAAAATAATGATTAAATCCAAAACAAAAAAAGTAGATAGACATACATAAATTACAGATAACATAAATCAAAATATGTAATTAAGAAGTGTCGAGTCACCTTTGCATTTGGACTCTGTATATTAAATAAAAAATTAAATCATATGATAAAATTAATTAAAAAATATACTAAAACATAAATTAAAATACTTATTTGTTCGGCCTTATCGCTGTAGTAAATAAAAAATTAAATCATATGATAAAATTAATTAATAAATATACTAAAACATAAATTACAATACATATTTAATCGGCCTTATCGCGAGTTCCAATTGAACAAATATTCCAAAAAATTATAAAGAAAAACAAAAACAATTGCTCCTAATTTGTTTTTGTTTTGCCTGTTAAGCTATGGGAATGATTTATTCACTTGGAATTGGCAATAAAGGGCTGTTTACATACGACTTTTGCTTCACTTTGCTTCAGAGTTCCGCTTTGACAGATAAGTTCAACACATGATTTTATATGAGTCTTGCTAAATAGAATGCGAGGAAAGCAAAGCGAGGCAAAATCATGGGTGTGCTTTGGCAATCACCTGTTCACATGTATCTTTTCTCGGGGGCTTGCATTTGCTTTTAAAGACAAAAATAATCTAAATAAGAAATTTACACAGATAAAATATAGACGAAAGGGAGAACGCAGAAGCTTTCTACTTCATGCTTTGTTGTCAAAGTTCGAACTGTCAAGCAAACCGAGGAAAGTCGTATGTAAACGGCCCTTAGGGTTGAATAATTAGAATTTTTCGTTTGATTTTAAGTTAAAAGAGTTAAAAAAAAGAAAAATTGAAAGCTATTTGTTATGAATCGTTGTACACTAGCTAAGAGTGAAACGTTGCTAAGTCTATTTTTTTTTAATTTTTCACGAGAGGAAAACAACTAATAGCCCTTTTCTTCAAGTATTTTGCAACACTTTGAATTCAACGGTGTGCGAATTTAAAGCAAAGCAAAACCCTATAAGAATCAGATGTTTTTGCTGTTTTTTACAAGACTTTTTATTACTTTGGCCTTATAGACAGTCCTATTGCGAGTGTCGACTGGTAGCATATAAACGACTATTAGTCGATTATCTCTTTTCCATGGTTTTGTGAATGTCTATTTATCGTTCAATAAGCGACTGTGAATAGCTTTTGGTTTTAGTCTACAGCTGTTTGCTTTTAGATGGATGAGCGACTAAAAACTATTCTCACTCACTTATCGAACAGGGAAACGACATTGAAAATACCATGGATAATCGATAATCGACTTATAGTCGTTTATTTACTTCTAGTCGACACTCGCAATACTGCTGAGAGTTTCGCGCGCCTCTTTTGGTTAAGCAAATTGTTTTTTATTTGAATATTTACTAGCAAATACCCAGCGTGTTTTTGTGCTGTTTGATACCCATATTATAATAATTTATTTTATCAATTTAATTTATCTTATCAATTTAATTGAATTAAAATTTTCAAACAGGTAACAACCTTCAACAGAAATATTTTCGACTGCAAGCCTTTTTAAACCTCATTCTTTTGGTAGCCATATTGCAATATTTACTTTATACTATCAATTTACTTAAACTGCAATTTTCAAACAGTTGGCAACCTCTATTTTTTCTATATATTACTTAAGACCTTTAGCAATGTACCGACTAAAACTGCATTCAATTCTATGCATTCCTTTTCGAGTGATGCGTGTACAAACATTCAGACAGACAGACCGACGGACAGACAGACATAAATTAAAAAAAAAAATTGTTGATTTGGCCTCTGTTGCGCTAATAAAGACCCCGCATATCAGATTAAGCATTATTCGAATAAATTGTTATTTAGATAATTATTCGAATAAAATTTTACCCATAATATAATTATTCGCAAATAATATATTCACGAATGAATTCGTGAATAAATTGCGTATGAATAAATTATTCGTGATTTTATTCGTTATTTAAAATAATTTTTAAAAATTGATTTATAACACAGTAAGCAATGTTTTACTTTTATTTCTATTGTCAAGGATTGTGAGTTAGTTGAATTCGATTTACTATTTTATCAAGATCTTTGGCGTTGGCCAATGCAAGAATAGCGTTGAAAAACAAATATGGGTAAGGTAAAAATTCTTAATTTAGGTTGAAACAATTAAAGAAAAAAATTCCTTTCGATATCATGAGTTTTACCGATGGTCTTATTTTCACCTGTGAGATCTTTTCTAAGCGCGCGTAACCTTCTTTGATCTTGCAACTACAACATTGGTCCGAGGCGTCAACCTCTAGTCTTATGTCATGTAAGCCAACAAAAGTCCTTATAAGGAAGCTGAAGAGCACAGTCAAGGTGTATTCAATAAGGTGGTACCGGTACGACAATAACAAAATGTACATGTATTTGGTTTTTGCTTTGCGGCGAGGACTGTCAAAAATTTCATACGAAGGATGTGAAAGAGAACAGAAAACAATGAACAATCAAGTTGTCCAACCAATCAACAGCAGCCATTTGACATATGAAGCCGTGAGGCGAAGAAAAATAAAAGGGTACTGCTGTCGCCTATTGAATACACCTTGAGCATAGTTTTCTATTATAGGAGAGCCAAAAATCCTCGATGTTCCACAGGACGAAAAGTTTTCCTGCGCGTCCAAATTTGGCCATCGATAAACCAACCGTGATCTTTCTTGGAAGGATGTGGTCGAAACTTTCCTAGCTGATTCGGCACTTTTAAAATATCTAAGAGCTGGTTTCCTTCAATCTTACTGCTGCAGCAATGGCCGTCCGAGCAATTTCATCCAGCGGAGGTGGATGCAAGGTCGCATTTCGGGTGTGTGACGACGTGAGACATCGTTAATTCGTATAATATAAAAACTAGGAACAAAGTAGTCCAGACATATGGGGGTTTATAAATATTTCGACTGCAGGACCATTATGAATTGCAACCTGATTGTACAATAAATACGGATTTTCTAATTAACTCATTTGCCGCGCCACCTAGCGGGTCCATTTTTCGCATAAGTATTTTTCATCATGCAGGTAGAACACCTTTTGAATTTAGACGAAATCGGTTCATAAATACGGCTTTTATAAATAACTCGGCTCCAACGCCACCAACGAGTTTTCTAGTAGCCTTTAATAGGACTTTAAGCGCAGGGAATAACTCAGAGAATTTTACTTAAATCTATTCAGGGGTTTGAGTTAATTCCGAACATCGAAAACGACTGTCATTTTATATATAAATATATGTATATATCTATATACATAGATTACTTGTTGTATTATTATTTTATTCGTTATTCGAATAATTAATGAAGATAATAATTATTCGAATAACGAATAAAATAATTAATGAAGATAATGGCTGCGTTTCTTTATACATTCCGGATAATCCCATTTCACAGCCGGAATAAACAGAATGCGTTTGAAATATACGTCAACATATCATCAGGAACGTTCTAAAGAATAAATAAACAAAACAGTTTATTCCAAACGTTCAGAATGAATAAAGAAATGCAACCAATAATTATTCGAATAACGAATAAAATAATTTATCCATCATTCGAATAATTTTTTTTAATAATCAAAGTTATTCAGCTTTATCATGACTTTTATTTTCCCCGAACCGGTTCACTTTTCACTTATGGTTTCCGTTCACCCGAAAATTTTGATTCCGCCCAAGGCACATTAAACAGGTAGTATCAGTAGAGCAAAAACAACATTTGCGTGTATTTTGTTGTTGCTTCTGGTATCGAAAGTGTCAAAAACTGTTCTGAATTTTTTCTTCTAAATCAAAGCGTGCCATGTGAAATACAAAAAATTATAAAAAATTGAAATTGGAAAAAATAAAAATTGATGCAACTTTCTTTCCTAGTAAATTTGTTTGCTTCTCGAATCATTGATCCATCCTTTGCAAGGCCCAGTAATCAGCGGTCGTGCTGCCGAGTTGGGCGAACGTTCCAAAAGCTGCTATTCAATCGCTTGTTTTGTATGGAAAAAAGGTTTCACAAGCAAATGGATTTTAACAACTTATAATTTTCGTGAGAAAAAATTAAAAATATTTGACATTTTCGAGACCAAATAATTTGAAAATAAATCAAATCAGCTGCTCTACTGATACTACCTGTTCAATGTACCTTGATTCCGCCCATAGTAAATACATGGGAACCATGTCAGAAAATATATAAATTTTTATGCTTCGTTAGAGGAGAAGCAATTTCTTTCCATGGTGAGGCCTTCTAATGTTCATATTAATGTTTGCATGTATGCATATTGTCTATTCACCTTCGCATTTGGGTTTTGTGTAAAATCAGCAATACCGCCACCTCCAACACCAGCACCAGTACTCTGATTCGATGGGCGCGCATGCGAAACCAGCTGTAATATACACGGCGTAACCTTAGCCCAAAATTCAAATAGTACTCCCATCGTATTGCCCTCCGCATTGCTGGCGGTACGCGCGATATGCTCCAAATACACGGTCCACAATTGACACAGCGTGAAGGCGTGAAAAAGTGATGACATATGGAGCACCGAAGTCTTCGATTGCTCAGCAAAGCCAGCGAAAATAACTTGAATATGATCGGCAATGTGGCAAGAGGACTCCTGTGAGACTGGCATGGCAATGGGCGCTGCGGCGCTGGGCTGTTGATGATGATGCTGATAGTGTACTGCGGCTGGTGGCACAGTGGGTGGCACCTGCTGTGGCGGCATGGGTGTGGTATGATGTTCGTGGCGGCGTTGAGTCAGCGCTAGGTGTGTCAGCGAGCCAAGCAACAGCCACGAGAGTAGGCGCATATGGCCAACGCATTCGGTGAACTCTTTAGGACTGCAGAGTAGAGGGATAGTGTTGTGAGCTACATATGTAGATTTATACAAATATATGCCAACTTTGACTGACTTACCCCTGCTGCAGCGATGAGGGCGCATTATTGAGCCAAGGCAGATAACGCGAGCTGCTTTTGTTGTCGCGTGTATTGCCGCGCGACATCTCCAGTGCCAGATATTGTGCAACTGCACCCTTCAATACGCCACCCAGCGTATCTTCGCCTAGGCCGTTTTGGACGTGTCCATTTTTGAAGTTCTAGTGGGAGTGGCATTTTTGAAATAGTATTTTATGATAACTTACATAGATATGTATGTACGTCGGATTTTGAACTCACTTTGATTTTGCTCAGCGTATGAAAGTCCGCCAGAAAATCAATTACATCATTTACATACTGTCGCATGCAATCTGCCGCATTAGTGTTCAACGGTGGTGCGGTCTCCGGCAATCCAGCTAGTGTGCCAGGCGGCAGCGTACCACCAGCATCGTGCAACACGAACCCAATGATCATCAGCAAATTATTATCGGGAATGTTAGTTTTGAATTTCAAGGCTTGCACAAATTCGAAAATCAATTGTCGACAAAGTAGCATTTTGTCGCGATCCTTCGAAAACGAACGCATATTCAACGTACAGAGCTCGTATATGGTATTGTATTCCAAATTTGTATTCTGCACGCAAAAGCCAATTATTTTTGAGTAGGGATCCAGCAATGTTTTTGGCACAATGTTCAGCTTCAGTGTGGCCACCATTATGTCGAGCAAATGTTCTGGATTGCCCAGATTTGGTAGCAATACAATGACTTGCCGCAGCAGCGATTCCATCGCTTGCATGGCCTGCTGCCATACACCCGGTCCAGTGGTCAGCTCTGTGGGCACACAGTGCAAATACTCGGCCATGTTGCGGAAGATTACTGGCAGCTGCTCGATCGGTAGCGATTTTTTGGATTGCAACGATTCGCATACCATATAAATAGGATGTGTGGCGTTGAGCTCCTGGAAGTCCTGCAGTGCGCGAGCAATGCTGCGGAATGAGTTGTGACGCACTTTCACTGGGGGGTTGAGAAGAGTGTGGGGGTTGGTGAAAGTAAATGTTATTTAAAATTTTACTTACTTTTTACTTGCGTTTGGAAGATTTGCAGGAAGATGCCGTTGGGCGCCAATTGATGTAGCACGCAACGTATGAATTGTAGGGACACAGCTTGTGCGCTGCAAACCAGTGCTGGTCCATTCTCGCCCTGCCAGGAGTGTGTGGATGTTAAGCAGATTCTGTGGAAGAAAATAATAAAATGAGCCGTTTATTTTGAAAGTGGAATAAGTCACTGCAAACCTCTTGTACTTAAATGACTGGTTACTTGTATCTGGACGCGTCGGTTATTTGTTCATCTTCATCAACCAAAGGTAAATGGTCATTAGTTATGATGATAGAAAGATTTTCACATGCATTTAGTTACAAGTAACCGGCCATTTAAGTACGAGAGGTATGAAGTGACTTACTTATGTCCTTTCAAAATAAACGGCTCTAATGTAACTACTCAACAAGGATGGAAATGGATGACTTGTGAAACTCAATTTAAATGCTCAACAAGCTGGATACCCATAGTTTTCTAATGCTAGACTCCCTCAGTAAAGTCCCAAAAACTTCAATGACTTCTTTCATCATTTCTACAATGTAAAAGCCTGGGTGAGTGCTCACACTACTGAAAACTGTGATAGACGGACAAAGAGGAATATTAACGTCACATATTCAACTTTACTGACCGGTACTCCACGCATCAACTAAATCCAGAGTAGAATCAACATGACTTCCGTAAAGCGCACATCGTAATCGTAATCACCCCTTCTACAAAACTAACCTATTAGCATTAGATCTATAGAAGTGTTTCGATTACAGTATCCACAGCCATATTACGGTACTGAAATACATCTAAGAAGCGTCAGTAATATTCCTAGATCAAATCTTATCTTAAATCTTTGTGTCCTTTTCGTACTTATGCTTAATTTCCATCTCTCACAACTTCTACAACCACCAAAAGGAGCCTTCCTTGTCTTCTACACTAACAATTGTTCGGTAAACGCGAGCGGCAATGGAATTGATAAACTGTGCTCTAGTTTTCTTTGTGCACATCATAGAAGGTATTTGAACAGACATTTGCTGGAAACAGACACACATCCTACACTCACGGACGAACTTCAGGCTTACATTGCACAACCACTGGGCGGGACTCGAAGTGGCTCAGACATGCCATAAGCGACATTTACCAACTGGCATCCCTAAATTGGCTCGTAAAGCACCAAAGAACTGTCAAAAGTCCTCATGCCCATACAGCATGAGTATGCAGCATCCTACAGTAACGCGGCGCTGGCGCCGAGCAAATGGAATTTTCATTTTTGACAGGGCGTTACGAATTGAAGTTCGTTGCATCGGAGAGAAAGAGAGAGGACAAAAAGTAAAAGAGGAAACGAAAATTAAAACGATAGGAAATGAGAAAACGTCAAAACTTACACCGCGTTGATTTGGGTATAGCTCGCGCTGGCACTCGTTGGCATTGGAAAACTCAACGCTTGGCGCTCCAATTTTGGGGACGCCAGCAAGAGACAGTTACCACCATTACAAATTATCACGCCCTTAATGCCGTCATCGGAGTTCAAAAACCACCCACACGATACCAGTCATCTCTTCACTTGATCCCTTAAACCTAGCCAGCTAACATCCCTATCCCTTTGGTCTGACCCGGTAGAAACAGCACTTTTCCTAGTCGTACTATTAGGCGAGCTTGATAGCAACGTTAAGTCGCTATAACAACAACAGGACGTAGTACTATACCATCCTGTAGGACAAAGCCCTCCACAATTTCTGACCTAAGCTTGTCTGTCCGGTAGACGCTTTCTGGGTCCGATAGGACAATCTCAAATTGAATGGCTCAGTACAAATCTCTGCATCTGCTTTGCGTTTCATTTTTGATTTGTCTGCCCTCCAAGCGCGTGGCATTCCACGAACTTAGTCACAGTGGTTTGGAAATTTCATTCGGCGGTTTTATGTATTGATAGTATGGGTCGGGATATAACAATGTCAAGTCTAAAATCCTTGGCTTCAATTACCAACTGTTACCTAGCATTGTTTTAGCTGAAAAGCGGACCACTGACGCATTCCTCGCTCCTCAAAGCTCCAGTTAACTTTCGCCTTGTGAAAGATCAAGTTCTATACTCTCGCATTTAGGTTTAGTAAAATTCGGCAGTGTTTCTAATTTTTGGAAGAGTCAGATTTCTGCTCATTCACATTGAGAGAACAATTTATGGAATTACGCTCATAACCTAAGGAAATCATCTGGATACAATTATGGCTGCATCGTCGGCAGATTTATTCAGGTACAGAAGCCATAATATCGTGCTTTGAGAACCGAATTCAGCGTTATTCTTCTCTTTAACAAATATACTATCTGCAACCGGGTGCCGCACTCTGGCCCTTTTTTGTAAGCGCCTCAAGTATGCATTCTACATTTACATACATTATTGTGCACTCTTAATATCTTTAAGGGTAGCCATGGTAAACCGTTTGTAAAAGAGCAAACTCTACTTCGTGCATACTTCCTGTCGGTGCAGATCTAAAAGTCTCCCAAACGTTTTGAAGACGAAAGACATAGGCTTATTGGTCTCAAAGCCTTATGCTGGATTTCTACTAGGCATTAAATGGCAAAAATGACAAATGACAAAGTCGGTCATTAAAAAATAATCGTGTCATGAATTTGTACAATTCTTTCCTGGCTTTATATGTACATGTAGTTCATTCAGATATCCTTATGCTGGTCAACTACATATGAAGAAAAGTATAATTCCGGTAAAGGCTAGGAAGTAAAATTGATTGATCCCATTTAAACTGACAATGAAACCAAACTGCTCAAGTTGTAAAATTAGGCTCAAGCGAAATCGAGGGTGTGGATGAAGCGTAACACAGCACATATGTAGGTGATCCTGTAGGCTTAGCCACGCCCTCATCAGTGTGACCCTGTTTCCACCGAGCACTATGGATCTGGACCTTAGGCTGTCGATTCTACCCTGCCCCCCTAATCAAGGGTGTCATGCGTTACCGTGCCCTGAATCGCTGTACGGGTAAAAATGCCGCCAACGGATACAGTATTAATAATGTCGAAAACCCGTTGGGTATCGCGGGTCCACGGAGGCCTCATCGGCCAAACTCTTCGGGCGCATTTAAAGTCCTTTCAGGAGCAGAAAGAGCGCATTCAGTGGGCCAAGGGTGTCCTTGCCAAAAGCTGGAATTGGGCAATTAGGTCAAAGCGGCACGGGTCGGTGGACAACACCACTGAAGGGGAACCTAAAAAACTCAGGTCTTAAAATTCTTCCGGCCCAACCAACGCTCTACGGCCATTTAGGGCCTTCAACAAGCTTTGACAATTCCTTCATTCTTGTTTACTTAGCCTGTCCCCGACGAAATGGTTTTAAGTTAGTCATACTGCTAAATTTTACCTTGATGTGAGCGTTAATATCTCTGGTAGAAATGGTGCTGCCATTGCCGGTTCACGATGTATGAATGTGCCGAGTATGACAATTAATATGCCAATATCTTCATCAGTATATTCCTCGATGAGGGCACCACAATCAGTGCAACGATCACAAATTGTATAATCACCAACTCGGCGTGTACTCTGCAAAAGAAGATATGCGCAAGTTAAAGAGTAACTAAATTCTTAAAAAAAAGTTATCGACTCACCACACGATTCGGTTGCGCTGCTGCACTACTATGTCCATTACCGTTCTCATTACTTTCTTCCGCATCGTCGTCCAGCTCTTCTGGCGGCTGATAAGGTGGTGGCGGCCATGCACCAGCAAAACGTGAGCGTATGTCTGGTATAGCGCTAGCATCGACATTGAAGGGTGCCAATTTCTGACGTGGACGTTTTGGTGGCTCTGGTTTACCCGCTGCATGCATTCCACCCGCACTTGTAGCAGCCGCAACGCTAATGGCGGGTTTAACTTCCTGTGTGACGCTCCTTAATATCGAAGAGTGTAGATCTTGTTGTCCTGCGCCGCTTGCATTTGGTGGCGATTCGAGTGCCACCTGTTTAATGAGGCGACGTGGTGATGTGGTACGACTGCTGGGCGTCACATCATCCTTGGTGCTCTCAGACACATCGAGGCTGTCCTGTTTGAGGTGACTGATGTCTGGTATATTGAGACCCTCGCGCAAGCGATCAACCAAGCCACCAACAGACTCGTGTGTGCCAATCGGTAATAAACGTTCTGGTGTGGGTATTTCGAGTGCGGCTATACTTTTCGGTGCAGGCAGCTTGGCGGCGTCCATCTCATCGACTGGATTAGGCATGACACTCATTTTGGAGAGTGGCGAATCGGGGGAACCGTATGCTTTATCGGAGCGTTTTAGCGATTTTCCCGTGGGTTTCTTGTGATTTGCGCTGAGACGCGAGTCATCGGTGCCTGTAGATGAAGAAGAAGTGCCAGCACTGCATTCCACGATGGTCTTGTGGCGACCAATTGGCTTCTTGGAAGTAGCAGCCTGATGCTGCTGCTGTTGTTGCTGCAATTGTGTTTGTTGTGAAGTGCATGGCTGTTGTTGTTGTTGTTGTTGTTGTCGCTTGTCTGAGCTCTCAGTGCTGCTATTGGTCGATCGATTACCATTGCTGGATGTTAGCGACTTCGAGTTACTATCGCTAGACTTGGTTTGTATATCTTGCAGGGCGCCCAAAGCTTTCAAATGATTCGTGGCAATCGCGGCAAACATCTTCGATGTCGAGGCGGCTGCAGTCTCAAGTGACTTATTGCGCACTGTGATGGCGCGGTGCACATCAACGGGTGGACTGACAATAGCCGTCTCGGCAGCGGTATCGGCGCCCACTAGCGGAGTAACGATCATGCGTACGCCCTCCTGTAAACTATGACGCGCATGCGTGGTAACGACTGTGGTGCTAACGGCTTCTTGTGCACCCGATGTTCTAATTTTTGTTGTGTAAGTGTCGCCGGTTTTGGTAGTAATCATGGACTTGTGATGTGGCTTCATGGTTTTCTAGTCGTGCAAATAATGAATCAATTTCAACATTTTTCCCGTACAGTCTACTTACCTCTTCATACTCGATTGCACGCGGGCCGCGTACTCTCTGCATATCTGCCTTACCAAGCGGTGTTTCTTCGAAGTGCACGGTATCATCAAATGAACCCTGCTGAATGAAACAATTTGCTACTTTTCTTTGCGCCGTTTGAAAAATAAAACGAATTCTACTTACCGGCGCGCTGCTGCCATGCAAAGTGCTATCTGACAAATCACTTTCAGGTATCGCAACCAGTTCCGATTCCGTTTCATCGGCCTCTAGGCTGGAGTCATTATACTTGCGGAATGCGTGCTGTAGTTTCGGTGTAAAAGCCACATTCTGTCCCTTGCTCTTAGAGGCTGCGCTTGTGCCCTCCGAGGGAAACATTGGACTGGCCGGTGGACTGGGATCCTTATCATCGGGATCTGTGCCCAGCGAGGGTTGACTAACGTCGCGCGAACGCGATGTGCCTTGTATGTCCAATATGGTAGTAGTCGGTATGCGACGACATTGATGGAAATGGTTGCGCAAACTGTTCATAACCATGCGCATAGCCGAAATGACATAGGCACTATGCGGAGGCTGGGTATATGAATACTTGTAGAGCACCACAAGAATGGTAAGCATCCAATTACGACGTGGATATTGTTCCAAATACCAAAGCGAGTAGTTGAACACCAAATTTTGGTAGCAATCGGCAGCCGTGTTACTAGGATTAGGCGCATACAATATGATCTGCATAACCGAGGGAAGTATAAGACCGCCGATCAAGTGATTTTGATCCAATACTTGTGGTAGATTAGCAAGAAAAGCATTGAAAACTGCCGAAGCGCTGAAAGAATGTGGGCGAAAGAAGAAAAACACATATAAATAAGTTTAGTTCTAATTCTTACACGGTAAGACCTACCGTAGATTCTCCGGTGTTGTGTGGAAAGTCTTGTCGATCTGATTGTGACCCAGAAGCAAAAATAAATGTTTGAGCACAATATTTTGCGTCTTGGAGATGGGTTTATCTTCCGAGGGGAATGCCTGATCGGTGCGTGACATAAACTGCATAAGCAAGAAAACCAGCAGATGTATGGTTTCACGATCGGATTCCTCCAGCTCGGTAATGCGGCTCAGCAGGCCGATAAGGTTGTCATCATTAATGCCGCCTAGCGAGTGAATATGACCGTCTGTTTGGTGGTGAAGCGAAAATTTGTGTTAATATACTTAATAAATTTCAGATGCTTGAGAAAAGGATGAAGCTGAAAATGCAGCAGTCAAGCTTTTTAGCTTCATCTTTAAGCTTTGAGATATACATACATATTTGGTTTTACAACATTTTTTTTATCATATTACAACACAACATCTAAGTTTGAGTTCTATGCATAAGTATATATGTACAGTTATTTATTACAATGTACTATATTTATTGTTTTTGAATAGGGTACGATTATTATAGGCAAGCTTCAAAAAACTACATTTATAAAATACATACATACCAGTGTAGAAGTACACACACATGTTTGGCAATCTTGTGAAAAGGGAAGCGGACAAGTAGTTAAACATTTATCCAAAATTAATGGCAGTAAAACTTTCCTAACTCGAAACGCTGTGAGAGCAGCTAGCTTAGAAATGTTCCGAGTGAGACAAGTTTGACGATCTATTGTCACTGCAAGTGCTTAGTAAGAACTTAGTTGTAATACCCTAAAACAGCTCTACTGATGAGTACGTAAAATGAAACACGTGATAATTCTAAGTATGAGAATGAACATGAAATAAAATAAATAACACATTTGGGAAAAGTTTTTACAAACAAATAATGCTCAAAGCACGATGATTATTTAAAGTTTTTAAAATTGTTTATTATTTTTAACTAAAAATTAGCTCTAAGAGACTAACCATCCTGACGCAATTTTTCAAGCTCTAACGCACCAAAACTTTTTCTGAATATACCTTCCCGAAGTCGGTGACAGCATAGTACAAATTCAAGCAACACAAGTAATGTTTAGCAAAAAAACCGACTTAAAAAAAAAAATATATATATATATATATATTTCATGATCCAATGTCCGGATCTAAACCAAATTAGTATTGGACCACCTCTGAGACACTACCTTTCCGTTGCACAAAAAAATCGGTTGACGTGGTCCAAAGTTTGGCAGTAACATCCATAAAAAAATAAAAAATATTCCGACAAACTCCTCCTTTTTTTTGAGTCGGTTAAAAAGTTTGCCCGCAAGTACGGATGCAGTCTCCTCTCTTGTGGAGTTTAGTTGTGTACGAATTCCTGCAGATACTCCTTGACAATGGTCTCCGCTGTAATGTACGTGGATGATATTGTGATTATTGCTAGTGAGAAGTTCGAGAGTACCATCTGCGACATCATTCAAGGGGGACTTAATCCAGCAAACAGGTAGTGTGCTGATTTGGGTCTTAATATTAATCCCTTTAAGACAACCATCATCCCTTTTACTAGGAGGATGAGAAACTAAGCCTTGGATGGGGTTCCGGTAAATGTTGTCACAAAATTGAAGTATCTGGATCTTATCCTGTACTCCAAACTTCCGCGGAGGACGCATGTTGAAGCGGCCACCTCTAAGGCTATGATGGCGTTAAAAAATTACAGTTAAAAAATACAGTTGAATAGTAGTTTCCGAGAGAAGCTTTAAAGGCAAGTCTGTGGATACAGCGCACCAGCATATCACCACTAACAGGACAATTCTGGCAAACGTGTTCCAATCCACCACAGTATTTGAAAGACAAAAGCTCTTTTATTTTTTTTTCGAAACACTAGATAATTGAGAGATCTGGAACAAGTCAGTGCCAAAAATACATCGATGTATTTCCTTTGATTCGATACATCAAAAAGTACATCCATATTTTTCGATACATCGAAGGGCATACAATGATATATAGATTTGCATAGGATTTATCCAGTGGCGGATCCAGGGTGGGAGGGGGGGCTTTGGGCGCTAAACTACGTGTCAGTCAGTGGCGGACCCACGGGGGGTGTTTTAATATAGCGCATGTGTGTGTATAATATGGCGTCTATATATTAAAACACCCCCGTGGGTCCGCCACTGACTTACACGTAGTTTAACCCCAAAAACCACCACCCCTCCACAAAAAAAATTTTGTATGCGTCGAAGCAAAATATCGATATTATCCATGTACCGCTATTTCCCGACATCCGTAGGAACGAGGGGGTTTTAGAGTTTTTCTGTTTACCATTTAGTAATAACTTTTCTAATATTTAAATGAAATTAAAAAATATACATAATTTTCTTTTTAAAACAATAAAAACTGAAAATGAAAAGAATTTTAAATTAAATAAAAGAATGAATAAATAAAGTTATAAAACAAGAAGTAGTAGAAGAAGTTAAAGAAAATTAAATAAAAAAAGAAGAAAATTAAAAGAAGTGCCTTAAAATTAAAGTAAAATAAGAAAAATCTTTTTAAAACTAAAAACAATAAAAACGAAAAAAAAATAAATAAAGAAAGGGGAAAAAATTAATAACATAAGTTTTGAAAATAACATGATTCTAAACCTTATGCTTCTTTTTACAACAATAGTATCTGGAAATTAAATTGAAAAAGGAAAAAATAGAATGAATTAAAAAAGATAAATTAATGATAAAAAAGAAAAAAAATTATATAAGCTCCTTAATTTTTTTTTTTAAATCATATAAACTAAATATTTAACGATAATTATATTAAAAAATATTAAATTAAAATAGATGAAAAAATCATGTTCTTAAAAATAAAATTGAATTTAAAAAATATATTTCTTTTTAAAACAAAACTCAAAATGAATATAAAATTAAATTAAAGAAAGAAAAAAAAATTATCAAAAACAGAATCTAAAAATTAAAAAAAAAAATAAGTTTTTAAATATTAAACGAAATTAAAAAAGTAATATTTTTCTTTTTAAAACATAATTAAAGGACTGAAAACAAAATGAATAAAAAAATATTCCTTCATCCGAGGATTTAAACCTTGGATCTATCGAATGGCACACACCTGTGCTTTGCTCACTCGGCCATTGGGACTGTGCGAGCAGCGCGCGCAAAATGCTATACAAGTGCCTTCTATAGAAGGCATTGTTAAATCGGTTTTTCGAGCAGGACTTTCCACACCTTTGGTGGGATTTATACGAATTCGACAGGGAACTCAAGTTCATTGTGCGCATTAATACCGAAGGCTATTGCGGTTCTCTTTACGAATAAGATAATACTTTCTCTATTATCTGTCCGACCTATGTATGTATGTTTGACGAAGGTCTGCGATTTACAATGCTTCATACAACTTTCCAGTAGGCTCTATTTCCAGTAACATGCAATAAGAGAGAAGTAACATAGAAATGTGCACACAGACATAAAAATGCTATTCTCAAAAAGGGAATGGAAGAGATAAGGACAGAGAGAGAGGAGAAGGACAAAAGCACACAGCGATTAAGGAAGCATGTCATGTTAGTACATATAAGTATGTATATTTGTAGAATGGGCCATCCGGTGTTTTCTTTTTTAAATGCTGTAAAACTTCCGTCTAATGCCTTGTAATGATTTTTTTTTAGAGAAAAATCTGCTGTCTATTTAAGTAGTTCAGTGATGGTAGATTTTATATGAATGCGCACAGAGTAAAATCTCTCTCTGAGCATGACTGATTTAACTTTATGGCTCATTTTCTCGCAGACCAGTGATGCTCAGAGAAAGCTTTTACTCTGTGCGCGTCCGTATAAAGCTGAGAGCTTTGAAGAGTTCAGCCCGCATTCCGGCCTTCTTTACTCAACATTACTTTTTTAAAAGTTCTCTCAACAAACTTTAAATCAGTGATCATCAGAGAGAGCGAGAGAAAGATAGAGCTTTCACTCTGTGGTTTCTCCGGCGGGATCGGACTTGGTCGTGGCTGGTTTAAATCGGCGATGTGCACCGCCTTGTCCGCTTACAAAGCTCGTTTAAGCTTTCTAAGCATTTTGTGATGCATGCAGAGTAAAAGCTTTCGCTGCCCATCGCTGGTTTAAATGCCTGAAAGTATCTTTAATGCAAGCACGACTAGTTCACATCCCGTGGAAAAGCTTTTCAGTCTTGGTAAATATTTTATACAGTCGCGAAAGAGTCTGGTCGGCGCTGATTTACATGTACCCTTGCGGCTGGCACAAAATAAAAGCTCTCTCTGTTTTCAAGCGGTAATCGGCAGTGCCTAAGCTTTCTACACATCTAGACGTTTGAAGAGTAAAAGCTCTCTCTAGCTGTTGCTACTTTAAAAATATGACTTAAAAGTAACTCGATGGCCAATTCTATATTTCTATAAGCTTATGTATACTGCTTGTATCGTTCAAAAGACCTAATTTAAATCTGTTATGAGCCTTCCATAGATTCTATATGGACGCGCAAATAGTAAAAGCTGTCTCTGATCGACACTGTTTTAAATATATACGTACATACATGTGTACATATTTATGCAAGTGTTTTATACTAAATACCTTACCAATCTACACAAATATACGTATTTGCTAATATAACCCACGGGTACGGGTAAGAAAGTCTTTAGTTTCACTATACGCATGACTTTGCATGGGTACTTAACGCTTGGTCCTGAACAGATAATAATTGTAGAGAGAACTGTACTGCCAGACGTTTTATCCTAACGACTTAACAAAAATATACTATTCTTAATCTAGATCTTATTAAAAAGATTTTCGTTCTCTTCTGAAATCGCAAGCGACTCTTCGAGCAACCAAATGGATCGATGGATTTATTCTATAGTTCAATCAGTAGCCTGGGTGGAAAGCTTTTTAAAGCTCGCACAGAGCAAAAGCTTCTTCTGATCGTTACTGCCGTACCCGATTTTAATTTCAACTTATTCTCGTAGAGTATAACTTTCGGATCTATGGCGGTGAAGGGTGGCCTTGCCCTCGTACAGTCTTTCAAGCTTTCGAGAGCCGTACACCGGATAAATGCTATTTCCGTCCATTACTGTACTAAACACTTTACACATCTAGGAGCAGAGCTATCTAGTTTTATGAACGACATATACATATAGTATTTGTATTAGGATTCAATCTGCGAAACCGATAAAAAACATTTCCATTCAAAATGAAGACGAACAAAAACAATGCCAATTACTGAAGGAAACACAATCATATTATTGACACACAGTTGCTTTGGAGCGGTTTTTTTTCTGGGAGAGGGGGAGAGGAAGGGAGTTGTGGGCATGCACTACAACCTACCTTGGTGTGCCGATGTAGGCGCATTAGTGGCGGTGCCGCCGCCACCACCGAAGCCACTACCACCAACACCACTTCCACCACCACCAATACCGCTGGCACCTGTAGCGCCGCCACCAGTGTCACACGTGCAATGGAGTAGCGGATTGACTGAAGCCGTGAGACTGGGACTAGGCACCGCTGTAACAGATGGCGGCGGCAAGAGATTAGGTGCGGAGGGATGTTTCTGGAAGTGTGAATGAAAGGAGGCGTGATGCGGCTGGTGTGGTGGTAGTGACGATTTTTGTGTTGACAACATTTGCGCACTCGATTGCGGCGGCTCAGCTTCACGCAACGTCGGCATTGGACTGTGTGCTGTAAACGTTTGACTAGGTGTAGGCGCTACGCAATGCACTAAATACTGATGACTCTGACTATGAGATGCGGAGGAGGCTAACGTTGAGATTGTAGCTACTGATTGTGGTTGGGATGTTGATGGCGGATGTGCACTACTACTGGTGAAATGCGCAAAATGCGCGGCAAAAGTGGTGGTGGATATGGATGGTGAATGGGAGGAGAAGAAGAAGTGGCTATGAGGAGCGGATGTGGTGGTAGTGGCGGTGATTGTAGTAGTGGATTGAGTGGGATTGTGGACAGGGCAATGGTGCGTGGTGGCAGAGACAAAAGAATGTTGTTTGGACGAAGCGGTTGGTTGTGAGGAGTGTGGATGGGCATATGGATGGGAGTGGGCGTGACCGGCGCGATTATGGTGTTGTGTGGTTGCATAACTATGACTAGTAACATTGGCATGGTTGCCGCTAGAGCCTAAAAACTGACCCAAACCGAAACGTGATGTCTTCCGCTTGAGTATAGGCGCTGATATTTGTCGACTGTAGATTTTCTCCTTTTCTGGAACTGCGAAAATTAGAATAAAAAAATGTATACATTCTTTACATTACAAGGGAGACGGGTGATCATCAAAGCCTCACCAAATTTGGAATCCTGTCGTGGTATCATGCTCGCAGGTGCAGACATTGTACGCTTGTACGGCCACTTGGTACCAAATGAAGCACTAAGCGTTTTGGCCATGCTGCCGCTGGTATCCGATTGACTTAGCGCCTCACGCGCTTTCAATATCTTGGACGATAGTGCCTCACTGCCATTCTCGGAATTACGTAAATCGCGTAGGTACGAAATATCGCCGCATTTCTCCAAATTAATTTGCGCCTCTACAAATAACGTGTCGAAACGATTCAAAAAGAATTCCCAAGTGAGAATTCTGCGATCGGATAGCGAATTATGTAGCTGATAGACAGATTGTAAAACTACCGGACGATCCACGATGAACAAATCGAATTGCGATTCCAAGCAGAAGAGTAGTGACCGAATTGCCATGTCATGTATGGTTCCAATATAGAGCGTCGCCCGCTGCGCTACATACACATTGATGTCGTCCATGCTGGCGATCAGATGACAGAATGCCGTAGCGAGCGCCGTCTGCAGTCCGACTTCGGTGCGCAATGGGGTCGAGTCCATGAAACGTGTAATTACGGTGACTCGCTCCACTGCTGTGAATCGTACACGCCAGTCGGTGTCGTGAAAGGCCTCCTGCACGACACGCCAAAATACGTCCGAACCCAGTGGTAGGGTTATGCAATGGAGTAGTAGTGGTACGCCAGCCTGACAAATGTGCGAATGCTCGGCGTTGCAAAGTTCCCAGAGGCTGGAAAATTTAGAAGAATACGCACGGTACGAGTGAGCGAAGAGAAAGAGAAGTGGGGAAGTAAAGACGTAAAAAAAGGGTAAAACGTTAATGGTACTTTTAACTTTTAAAGCTTATATGGTGACTTATAAAAAGCGTTCGTTATGTACTCACTTTTTAATTAATAAATTTTCTTGGCACCATATGAAAAAGCCACGATGCTCGCGTGCTGCTTTAGCCAAAGCATCGCCATGTAGTGTCATTACATTGAGACATTGTAGTATATAATAGAGAATTTCCGGTTTCTTGATAGTAGGAATTTCCTGAGGATAAAGATATATAAGTATATTTAGAAACAAAACTAGTTACATAATATCCCAGAGATAAGAATGTGTAATAAAGAGGGTAGACAAGAATATGCACAAAAACCTTGATTATATGATCATTAAAATGACTCTAAAATATTAAAAATATCCTTGATATGTATATGTATGCCCCAAACATGTATATAACAAACATTTTTTTGATTATCGCATAAAAAGTTTTTGTACATATCAACATATATGTATGTATTGAAGTTGAACGCTCTACGTCACAAGTCTTTGTTGGACAGAATTTAAAAGATGACAATTCTTCAGGTGAAAATAGTGCAACATTTTATTGAAGTGTTGCTGCACACAAAATATTTTTGTTGCTGATATTGAGCAGTTATAATCAGGGCTGCAAACCGGTTTTGAACCGAACCGGTTTTTGAACCAAACCGTCACTTTTTTCGGGCTTCCAACCGAACCACGAACCGAACTGTTTTTATTTTAAAATGCCAAAACCGAACCGAAAACCATCCCAAAAAAATGGTTCGGTTCGGTTCAAAATGAAAATCCACTACTGCATTTTTCAAGTTTTGTAATACTCAAATTTTCCCATAAATGCAACCGGTATGGTAAAACAGGACATTTTTTTTTGTGTGATGGCAACTCCGCGTGTTGTAATTTCGTTAATATAAAGAAAGCTTGATTTTTTGCTTATATGAAAAAAATGCTTAACAACGCCAGCAAAAACAAAATTTCAAAAACTCAAATTTTTTTAGTTCTGATTAAAATGTGTGGAGCTTTGATGTAACGTTGTTGAAGTTTGCAGTTTTTCAAATTTTCATACAAAGTTTGAAATTTGGATTTATATGCTTGTTATTATATAACGAGCTATACATTTATAAAAAATTTGTGAACATTAAAAATTTTTTCAAAAATCAACTTAAAACCTAAAAAATTTTTCCTATAAATTCTTACTAAAATGTTTGCAATTTAGATGAAACTTTGCAGAATATTTGTAATTTTTGCACAAAGATTAAAACTTGGACTTATATGGTTAAAAAAATAAACATAAATAAACAAAAGAAAAATAACAAAAACTTGACAAAATGTCGTGACCCTATTTATGCTTCCACCACAATACTATGGATGGGTAGCGGGGGGGTGAAGTTCGATTTTTTGCTACACATAGTTATGCCAAATTTAGTTTAGCTTTTTTGAAAATAAACGCGAAATTCGATTTTTTCTAGAAAAATTCGATTTTGACAGCATTTTAGCACCCCAAAGTTCGATTTCGAAAATGCGCCATTTTGGAACTAAAATTCGAGTCTCGAAGCTTCGAATATCGAATTTAGCCATCCCTACACTATACATGTGGATATTTGAATTTGATCTCAGTAACAAAGCCTTTAATATTCATATTATGGATTTGTCATATTTTTGTAACATTTGTATCCTTTAGCATAAAGAAAGTGAACCATTTGAACCGAACCGAACCGAACCGAACCGTGGTTCAGAGATACTCGTGAACCGGTTCGTGAACCGGTACAAGCTTTTTCTAAGTGGTTCGAACCACTGAACCGAACCGCACCGATTTTTGGAGTGGTTTGCAGACCTGGTTATAATAGATGCAGGATAAAACTCGCTGCTCTGTTCGCAGCACACCTGGAAAATGTTAAACAGCTTTCGCTAAAAACGAACAATTTTCATAAAAATTTTGCAACCACTAAAACTGGTTTAGCGCGAAACTTTACTATTGGAAAACAGCAGTGGAAATCTTTATACGAGTGTATTAAAATTATTTACTAGAAAATAACGGGACTTTCCGTTTTCGGTTAGGTTTTTCTTTTTGTCAATTAAACAAACCTCGTCAGCAACCACGGCTATCACCGTGTGAAAATTAATTAACTTATTACCAAAATAATCATATTTATGCGATTTTATGCTTTTTCGCCAAAATATGTATTTTGTATCTTCTCTAGTAATAAATAATTATACATCCTTGGAAGCAAAAAGTATGATTTGACATAAAACTAAAGTCGCCATCGTCTTCTCAATAAATATAAACATCATTATTGATACTTTGGTTGTTAGGTTTAACTTAAATTGTATCGAAAGTGGTTTTGTTAATATTATCGATTTTATCTAAAGACTATCGTTATCATTATTTATCCAACATCGATATTTAATCATCTTTCTTTTCGTTATCGAATTTTTCTTTAACACTAACACTTACCGTCAAAAGTTGATGTATGTACTGTAGAGGTTGTGGCAATTGATCTAAGGTAAATTTAAATTTACCAACCGATGTATGCCAAAAATCTTCGCCATCTTCTTCATCGTCCTCATCATCCGATACGCTGCCATTTTCACCAACTCCACCACCAGTACTGCCATTTGCACCGCCATTCTCTCCAATAACCGATGCCTTGGTTACACTTACATTGGCGCTACCTACCAGCAGGTAAAGTAAAAAGTATCAAAAAAAAAATATTAAATCAGATGGAATGGTAAGTAAACCAAGAGCTATTTTCCTTACTCGACTCATTCGTTCTGACACCTTACTTTAGTTTCTAACTGCTTTACGGGAATCGACCAATAGTTGAAATCGACTATCTTTGATTTGGATGAATTTTGGTCAGAACTTTTCTTTTATCATAAAACTAAGTTCTGCCAATGGAAAAAATAATATTTTTTTTCGAAATCAACATTTTTGTAACAAAATCAAATATATCGAGAACGAGTATAGATAGCAAATGATGCAGAATTCCAGCAAAACAGTAACTTTGGATAAAAATTTACCTTGACCTTTAAAATTTTCTTTAGTAGTATAAGGTTTAAATTTTTATTTTTATTTTTAACTTGAAATTGTGTGCAGTGTATCTCTCAATAAAGTTTTAAATACAAATAAATATACTTGTACATAGTTTTTCTATTATATTATATTTAAACATTTTTTAAGTGGTGTTTTTAGGTTAAAAAAAAATTAAAAATTTCAAAAGTAAAATTTCGGATTTTGTGTATTTTTTAACACACACATATTTAGATACGATTTTCGGAAATAGGTTCCTTGACGCATTAAAAGCAAATATGTGCGTTTAAAACTTTTTCAAGAGTTCATTCTTACTGTTTTCAGGACAAAAATAGATAAAAAATTAAAACCCTATATTTTTTATGGTAATTTTAAAAGTTTAGGGAATTTCGTTTTACCCAACAAAAGCTTTAAAATACCGTTACACTTATTTCGCCATCAGTTCTCGTTCTGGAGATATTTGATTTTGATAAACAAACTTAATTTTCCACATTGTGCGCCAGCAAACCGATTGTCGGGTAGGCGAAGCCGGCGCGTATCAAACGCCACTACCTCTTCGTATCCTTAGAACGCACGATGGATCCGTCAGTAAGCATCAAGCATCATACTTAGTAGCTCTTAGCTTTTAGAAACCGACTAGCCGACTACTTCACAATTGGTAGAAGTTACATCGTAGGCCTACTAGAGATGGGGTTTTTAAATCGGTTAAAGCGAAGACCGATTAATCTAGCCTTTCCGATTCGATTTTTATCGACTTTTTAATTTCGATTGATACGTAAATCGATCCGAAAAAATTCAAGAATCCACATTAAATTTTTCCTCAATTGACGCATATTGATCTACCTATGCAGACCAAAGACCAAAGAATTCAATGACCTACCTCCCTTTTTCCTCCAGCAAAAGGGATCCTCAGGGAAGCTTTTTAATAACAACTGCATACAAAATTTTGGCTAATAATACACAAAAACTCGAAAAATTGGAAATCCCAACTTCGTGCAATTTTTTGGCGCATCGACTTCTTACTGCATCGACTATTTTTAGTTCGATTTGAATCGATTAAAAAATCATATAGTTGTTGGACAATTTCGTTTGGACTTCGATTTGTTTCGATAACGATACAAATATTTCTGCTAGTTAATACTATTATGTACTGAGAATATTCTACGTCACAACCATTGGTTTTCCCAGCAGGATCATTTTTTAGCATTTCCTCTGTGTTTGCGTTACGAAATTTGGTTGTGTGCCTGTGTACAGCGTTAGAACTCACCTACGTCTGCATCGGAGAGCGTTATAGAACGTGCTATAGCTCTATCCGCAGGCAAAATGGAAGCCAGATCCAATTGCTCGGAAACCGTCTCCACTGTGGCGGTCATAATCTAAATTTGTTTTTCAAAAGAAATAAATTGTACAATTGAAATTGTAAATGTTTTCTCTATAAAAAAAAAAATGGCGATGTTTGAAGGAATAAAAATATTTACAGTTATTTTACATTTACACATTACAATATACAATACATATACATATATGTAAGTATTAACAGAAAGTAAATAAAAACGAACACATTTTTTCTCACTAGTGTTGTTGAAGCGTTCTCAGTGTTTTCTATAGTTGATTTGTAAGAGTAGAGATACCGGGTGTATTTTCTATATAAGTATATACATCGAGTAGAATCTGATGTTTAGGGACTAATGTATTTGTTTGGCAATTAAGTAAAATATGCATTTAGAGGACATTTTAAATGACATATATAGTTAGTAACGGAAATTCTTCATAAAATCAAGTAATATTTATATTTACATACATACCTAAACATATAAATTTATAAAACTTAAAATTAAAAAAAAAAAAAAGTACTTGTGCATCAGATTGAATTGAATGCGCAAGCTATACTTGCTGCTGCTGGTGCTGTACAGTGAATATTTTTGCATTTTGTCATGCAACATTTACATGAAAAAATAAATAAATTAATCTGAAAAAATTAAATTGTAGATATAAAAATGAATAATAACAGGTGATAACAGTTATTAGGATATTTAAAATGTTTTAGATTTTACAAAAACCTTTTTATTTACATATTTTACAATTAATTAAATTTTTATTTTTAATAATTCACACACATACAAAGTACTTTGAGACAGTGCTAAATATTTGTTTTAGAAAAGAAAAGAATGGTTTAAAAATAAAGGAAACGAATTGTAATTGCGAATAGTTACATTTTAGAGGTGAAAACTAAGTTGAAAGTACAGAATTAAAAATATATAACCAAAATATCTAGATTAATTTATTTTTGAAAAATATAAATCAGGAAAATGTTTTTTCGAAGGCGACTAGAATTCTAATCCGATGGTTATTTTTAGCTAAATTTGTTATACATATCGCAAACGATTGCCAAAAGTGTATTTACTAGAGATTTTTGCAAAACAAACTACTACAATATTTTGCTTCAGTTTTTCACTAATTTAACTAGAATACGTTTGGTGAACCTCTGTGATATATGTATGTATGTATGTATGCTCTTTGTTGACTACTCTAGAAGCTGTAGTTGTTTGTTCACTATGTAGTTCTGTTATCTAAGTGCAAATTACGCATTTTCCGTTGACCATTTACAATTTTATCTAGCAATAAATTTTCTTCGTTGATAGATTGATATTTTTGTAAAGGAACAGGCTTTAACACAAATCAAGGGAATTTGCAAAAAAACTTTTATTTTTAAAATTTTTTCCCTGCTAAAGTTTGCATTTTTTTTCATTCACAATGCAAACATAAAATGAAAATATCTTGTGAAAACTAACTGATCTAAAATAACAGTATATTTACAGAGCCGTAATCTACGACACAAAATTAAGTGTACGTGTTTCGGAGTTTTCCTTTGTGTCATTTCAAAACTTGAAATTTTCCTTACTGCGTTTTTTTTTTTTTGAACAAACCTTATTTTTATTTTTTATAATAACCAGCTTAGTTAAATTATTACTTGCGATCGACTGACCATCCATATCTACAATATTAAATATTGGTTAAGATGAGAAGACGTGAGATAAAGATAGGAGAGGTGAGGTGAGATGAGGTGATGTAAGCTAAGGTGAGTTGAGGTGAGATAAGGTCAGGTGAATTGCGATGAGG